CAAGGTCCTGATTCCACTAGACCTGTGATCCCCTCTGTGACCCTGTAGAATTCCTAGCTCTGCTGTGTTGAGACCTTCATCCCAGGCCCAGCTTGGCTGTTGGAGGATGTATGCCATCTATAATAGTGAAGATCTTCAGCTTTCAAGAGCTTCCAGAGATGATGGATGCAGCTGGGCACAGAGCTCAGTGTTTTAGTTCAACATTAAATCTCTTAGGAAAGCTGTTGAGTGTAGCTATGGATGATTGGCAAAACAGTGGCCAATAGTTGTATGAAATGGGAGGCATGAATCACTTCAATCCAGGATCATAGCACTAGGAAGGAAAACAAGGGCAGGAGCCAGGCATGCGTGGAGCTATTGAAGGCCCCTCTAACAGGGCCACAGGTCATGGCCAGCTGGGCAGCTACCATTGCTTCCAGATCTTGTGTCGCATCTGGAAGCTTGGTCCAAGCACTGCTCTTAGAAAGACCAGGTGGCATGAAGGCTAGGTCCTCACCCTGCACACTGTGGTAGCCAAATGCCAAATACGTGCTGGAATAATGAACAATTTTGTTTCATGGTTAGAAATGCACCTCTCCTCTCACCATAGGAAAAGTCACCAAAATGAAGCAGCCCCCTGCAGACCAGGGGACATGGACTTTGAAACTCTGTGCAACTCTGTGATTGTATGCACATCGTGAACCTGTCAGTCCCACTCTGTGTCTTTAGGAAGAGAAATCATATGTCTTACCACACGCCACCTTGGCATTGGGGTCTTGCTTGAGGTGGGCATCCAGTACTGCATCACTGATCTGGTCACAGATCTTGTCTGATAAGAACAAACATGGGTGACAATCACATAAACAACAGGTTCAACAAACGGAGATCTTAGAATAAGTAAATATTTTGTCCATTTACATGTCAAATCTACCTGCCAAAGAAAAGAGAAAAATTCTCTTAAATATGAGCTGGTGGCTCATGTCTATAATCCTAGCCATTCAGGAGACTGAGACATGAGGATGGTGGTTGGAAGCCAGCCTGGGCAGGAAAGTCCATGAGATTCTTATCTCAAATTAACCACCAAAAAGCTGGAAGTGGAGATCTGGTTCAAGTGATAGAACACTAGTCTTGACTATTAAACCTTAGGTCCTGAGTTTAAGCCCTAGGATTGGCATACAAAAGAAGTGAGAAATAAATTGAAGGGATGAGTGACGCTGAGAGAGGTGGGAGGAAATAATGAAAAGGGTGACAATGATCAAGACAAACTGACATGTTGAATCAAAACCCTTCTAAGCCAGGCGCCCGTGGCTCACGCCTGTAATCCTAGCTACTCAGGAGGCTGAGACCTGAGGATCGCGGTTCAAAGCCAACCCAGGCAGGAAAGTCCGTGAGACTCTTTTTTTTTCGGGGGGGGGGGGGGGGGGGCGGGGCGGGTCATGGGGCCTGAACTCTGGGCCTGGGCGCTGTCCCTCAGCTCTTCAGCTCAAGGCTAGCACTCTACCACTTGAGCCATAGCACCACTTCCGGCTTTTTTTTTTTCTGCTTATGTGGTGCTGAGGAATCGAACCCAGGGACTCATGCATGCAAGGCAAGCGCTCTACCACTGAGCCATCTTCTCACCAACCCCCCCCCCCCCCCCCCCCCCCCCCCGTGAGACTCTTAGCTCCAATAAACCACTAGAAAACCAGAAGTGGTGCTGTGGCTCAAGCCGTAGAGTACTCGCCTTGAGCTGAACAGCAGAGGAACAGCACCCAAGCCCAGAGTTCAAGCCCCAGGACTGACAAAAAAAAGAAAAGCCCCAGAAACAGGAGTTAAAGTCTTTAATTACATCAGTAAGATTAGCTGTAGTTACAAAGTGAGGTGTATTGTATGTAAAATACCACACCTAAGTTCTCCATGCTGTCCATGAACATTCCACAGGAGCACCTTACATATCATTGCTGGTTCACAGAACGTTTCCATGAGCAGTTCTTAAATCTTTTCCAGGTCACTCTGTACCCTGAAATCCAGGTGTCCTTACTAGGACCTCTGGACCACACAGGGATAGAGAAGGGTTCAGTATGAGCTGGGATTTGTTCTCACTCTTCCGCCATGAGCCTAAAGGTCTCAACATGGTCTAAATGGCACTATGGGAAAATGTACTCCACTTTGGGGTTATACAAACTGAATACTCATTAATGAACAAATAAAAGTGACCTTATTTATATGTATTGCATTTAATTTAAGCGTTGAAAACCCCAAAAAACCTGTTTCTTAATAGGTTCATTCGTTTTGGAGTTAATTTGGAATCAAGCAGTTCAATACTCAAGAACAGATAAGAAGTTCTATAATTGAGGACAGCAGTTAATCTGCTATTAAAGGGGAGCTCTCTATTTTTTCCTTCAGAGATGGCTACAAAACATATGTTTGTATCTTTCTAATCAGTGGCAGATCCTGGCTGTCAATCTAGGTTTGTTAGGGTCCATACCTTCTGTATGGATCCTAACCAATGAAAGCCTCCAAAAATAGCCTGAAAAAAATATGGTAGTCCCTTCAGGCCTGCCCACCATGAACTTTAGAAGCTATCTGTGGGCTGAGCTCCATGTCTCTGTTTATTTCAAGGACGCAGATCCCAGGTCCCAAGTTGTGTAGGAAAATAGAATAGATAAAAGGACAAGCTAGAGTCAAGAAAGGGCCTACAAAAAAAAAAAAAAAAAAAAAAGAAAGGGCCATCAAGATAGCTCCAAGGATAGATGATGCCTGAAGCTATTCTTTTCAGGCTTCCCAAAGGCTATCTGCACCCAGCAAATTTCAGACAGCCAACAGTTTGCTATCTTGGAATCTGAAAAACCAAACTAGAAGTTTATCAGCAATGGAATGACAAGCAGAAGGTCACCAAGCCTTAAGAGGAAAATGACCTAAGAAAGCAGTTAGCATTTAGTGAAATCAGACAAACGGAGGGCCTGTCATTAAGCTACTCTTGATCAATGAATGGTTTGGCAGGAATTTTCATTATCTGTACACTGAACACTTTGCTACAAATACAATGACTCAGACTTGACCTACTCTGTGCTACTGGGTAGAGTAAATCCTTCTCCTGACCTGTAGATAAACTTTGTAAGCTCTGGAACTGCCCAGAGTTCAGGTTGTCAGTCATCAGTAATACACCTGAGATTTTTAAATACAGAAGAGCTAAATAATCAATCTGTAAAGTAATACACAGTGGCTATTTATAAGTCTCATACAAAAACAATCTAATCCAAGATTTTTTTAACAGCACTACTATTGACATTTTTGGCCAAATAATTCTTTGTGGTAAGACAATCTTTTGCAGTAGTGGATGTTTGGCAGTATGCCACTAAGTAATAGAGGCCAGGAACACCTTCTACCATCCCAAAGCTGTGACAACCAAAAAATATCCCCAGACATTACTCAGTGCTCTTGAAGGACAAGGGGCAAAATTACCCCTACCAGGTGAGGACCACTGGCTAATGCATAGAGAAAGAGTTGTACTTTGAAATGCCCAAATCCAAGTTATAAAATATTAAAGTTAAATCCCTTTATTTCCAGCAGTGTGTCTCAAGTGGCAGACTGCTTACTTGTCAAGTTTAAGGCCTTGAGGTCAGGTGCCAGTGGCTCACACCTTTAATCCTAATTACTCAGGAGGCTGGGATCTGAGGATTGAAGTTCAAAGCCAGTCTAAGCAAAGGAAAGTTCCTCAGACTCTTTTTTCTTTACTAATTAACCAGCAAAAAGCCAGAAGTGAAGTTGTCGTTCAAGGAGTAGAGCACCAGCCAAGCCAAGTGAGAGCACAAAGTCCTGAGTTCAAGCCCAGTACCAGCACACACACCAAAAAAAGCCAAAACCACCACCACAACAACAAACCACCTGTTATCATGCACGCTTGCGCGCGCGCGCGCGCGCGCGCGCACACACACACACACAAATCCCATTTTTTAAAAAAAGGAAGATGGGAACAGATAGACTTAGTAACAAGTTACCATATACCTCCATACTCTAATTGGTTTGTAGAAATACCTATCTATCTATCTATCTATCTATCTATCTATCTATCTATCTATCTATCTATCTATCTATCTATCTCTATAATAGTTCTCCAAGTGGAGTTCCTATACTACTTCCAGCATCTCCCTGGACCTGGTTAAAAACACAAATTCCTTAGTCTCTATTCAGACCTACTGAATAGAGGCACTGTAGGGGTGAGATCCAGGATTCTGATTCAACCAGTGGGTCATACTGATGTATGCCAAGGCTTGAAGACATCTGCCCTACCATCTGCAACTCTGAAAACCTGTGCAAAGCCCTCACTGTTACCAAGAAGTTCCTCTCACTTCCCCCACATCATGGTCTAGCCACCTTTCAGGAAGCAAAACAATGCTCAGATTTTCTTCTTCTTCAGGAAGCCATCGATATACTTCTGCTAGAGACTATCCCTGAGATGGTTTGGTGCCTAGAGATTCATCTCAGTATCTTTCAGAATTCATGGATGTTCATTTCTAAACTGCACCTGCTTTACAGAGGAAAACATGTGCATTATCTAGGATCTTAGTTGGGAAAACATTTTCTGTTGACTTAAATAGCTTACTGATAATAGATGACTAAAGCATTACTCAAAAAAATATATATATACAACAATAGGATCTTTGCACATATACTTTTAGCTGCCAATCCCATGTTCACTCTCAACCCACACTATGCTGAGAGGCTGGTGGTGGGCAACATGGACCTGGACCCTCAGTTTCAAAATGTGTGACTGTTTTACAAAACTATTTTATATGGTTTCTCCAAGAGAAGATCCCTTTTGGTAAGTAATTTGCAATTTTTTTTCAAAGATACATAATAGAAGTGACTTCCCCAAGCATAGGCTGTGAATGACAGCTTGGTCAATGTACCCAGGACAACCTACTTACCTGGATGACCCTCTCCTACAGATTCAGATGTAAACATGAAGCCTCCTTCTTCACTTAGAGAATGATCATACAAGCCATCCACAGGTCCGTTCATTGTGTCACGCTTTTCCACTCCGCTTCTCCAAAGGCGACAACTTCAGTGCTGTGACTTTGCCTGAGATTTATTTATTTATTCCCCTCCCCCCTCCCCCTATAAACCCAACAACAGGCTTGTCTTTGGCAGAGCCAGGATCACCTCTGCTCAACTGCCTGGTGCACACGTGAGAGCCAGGTGAGGATGGGTGAGGAAAGAGGGAGTAGATGAAATACAGTCCAATGGACTTGTCACTCCCTCTGGCTGGTCAGAGCTTGCTCCTGAGTGGCTCCTATATATGGAAAAGTGAAAGTGCCTGAATGATCATATGAGTCCATTGGAGGAGTCCATTTCCTGGGAGGGGAGGCCTCACTTACCTCGAGGAAGGTTTAGTCTTCAGCGCTGATGTCCCAAATGCTAAGTATCTGTTCATTCAAAGAACCAGATGGCTGTACAGATTCTGGAGAACCAGAGGTCTCTCTGGGACTTCTTCCAGCCGTTTAACTCTCATCTCTAAACTGCTCTGGAGTTAACATCCCACTTCAGGGAGAGGGGGGTGGTCTATGTGAGGACAAGAGGGTACAGGTAGGCAGTAAGGGACTCTCTCTGAGACACGGTTTAGAGACTAAGATTGCAATACTGGAGCTTGGCTGGCAAGCGCTCCCTCCTCCTCCCCCCCTTATCTTATCTGGATTAGCTTCACCCCCCCTCTACTACCTCAGGGCAGAGCGGGAGGCTCCACCTGTACTCCCAGCTAGCTAGGATATTATACAACACACTCGTTTTAGAGGGAAACTTTTAAATCCTCGTTTCTTTTCTGCCAAGACAAAAATCACCTAAGTGGTCAACTAGAAGAGGTCTACAGGAAAATTAACAAGCAAGGTTTTTGTTTGTTTGTTTTTGTTTTAAATTACCTGGACAGATGATAGAGAAAAAAAATTGTTTTTAAAACAAAGAGCTTCTGAGAGACATATTCTTTACAAAGAAATCATCAGTTTAATTTCCCAGACTTTCCAGATGACATATTAAATGCCTATATAGATGGTTCTAAATACTTCATAGACATCTTGTTCACATGATTGCTGCATTAAGCTTTGCTTAATTAAGAAGAGTAGAAGAAAAAGTGGGCTGTATCGTAAGCTCCCATCCTAAAGGAGAGCATTTCTCATCTTTCATCCTACTCTCTCCTACTTGGCTACATCCCTCACTCCTACAACAAAGGGAACTGAGATTAGATAGAATGCAAATGGCTGGAGAAGTAGGTTCCCACTAGAATAGAATGATGGCTGGAGTGACATCCATCAAGGTGCATTGTACTTACAAACTGACCTGTTGACTTGAAACCCTTTTGTCCAACTACTTATAATATAATAAAATAAAAATCTGAAAATAAGCATTAAGAAAGTAATCTAAAACTTTGTGAATCAGCATTCGTCTATGAAAAGCCAAAAAGTCAGGCAATAGGCCTAACAAACAATTCTGGTGACCAAAACCTCCATTTAGGTTTAGTATATCATCATTTCACTTTTTTTTTCTGGCACAAATTCTAGGGACTTCAAGTTCCAAGTTTGCTAGCTGGTCAGCAGTCACAGTATAATTCCTCCAGGGAATTAAACTTATATTCGAATGACTTCTTTTAAAATAATGTGAGAGATTTTACAAAGGCATTTAACAGTGAGTGAACTGAATAGTTCAGACCCAAGACTGCTAAAAATGCAGAGAGGGTCTAGCCAATGGAAGGCATGGACTAAGAAGGACTCAAACTAGGACTTTAGACAAAAAAAAAGCCTTGTCACTGTTATCACATAAGACTGTTCCTGTTTGTACCTAAAACATTTCAACATCCTTGTCCCTTTGGAAAATTTCTTTTGGGTACATTAGTTTCAAGCCTAGAGACAAGATGAGCTAATATTTAATTTGAACTATAGACCTCATTTGCTCTAGCAGTTAGAACGGTCTGTGAGCTAGTATGTCCTAAATTTGTTTTAAGAGAAAATTGATCAAGTATCAAAGCTCATCAAAGTTCTTAAGTCTAGAAAGAAGACAGAAAACAAGGAAACAGTTGCCCCTGACCCTTTAAATTCCAATGTAAGTAGTAGAATGATGGGTGGAGAGACAGAGGGATTGAGAAAGGGCATCCTGTTCAGAGAAGCAGGGCTTCAGAACTATGTTGGGAGAAGCTTCTACAGACTGCCACCAATTCAGAGGGAGGGAAAGATCTAGAAGTCATCCAGCTCAGGGAGCTATCTCATGTGTCAGATGACACATTTTTATTTACCTATTTATTTATTTACTGCTTGAACTCAGAGTCTTGCACTCTTGCTTGACTTTTTTACTCAAGGCTGTTACCTTACCACTTAAGCCGCACCTCTACACCCAGTACCCTTACTCCATGCTGTGATGACTGTGCTCTTCCAGAAAATAAATGTTTAAGAAACAGAACAGACAACATGGCAATTGGAAATACAGGCTTCAAGTTGAGAGCTGTAATGAACCTGTTTACTGTATATCCCGGGGAAGGTTCCTAAGCCTGTCTATGCTGCTACTTGCTGAGTTATAAAATAGCATAAATAATTATCCATTTTACATCACTGTTGTAAGAAATAAATCAAAGTCAGGTGCCAGAGGATCATCCCTGTAATCTTAGCTATTCAAGAGGCTGAGATTGGAGGGTTATGGTTCAAAGCCAACCTGGCAGGAAAGTCAGTGAGACTCTTATCTCCAATTAACTACCAAAAAGCTTGAGGTGGAATTGGAGCTCAAGTGGTAGAGTGCTAGCCTTGATTGGAAAAGCTAAAGGACAGCATCCAGGCCCTGAGTTCAAGCCCTAGTACCAGCATCCACATGTATGTGTGCACATATGCACGCACGCGCGCACGCACACACACAGAGAGAGAAAGTAATCAGCCCATTTAGGTATCAGACTATATCATTAGCAAATAATCAAAATTTAATAAATATTGATTGATTACTATTATTAGGCAGTCTGTGCATATATGTGACTTTCTTCTGAACAAAATGACATCATAGTATATGTATACATATACTATATTTGTGCCTTGCTTTTTGCCCATGATATATTGATGCCCTGCTCTTTTTTTGTACTTTTACATTACAGATAGACCTCATTTTCAACACTTGAATACTATCTCACCATAAGGAGATGCCATAAATTATGTAATCATTGATTGGGTAACTTGGCAGGATGGTAGAAGCCTGGGAAGCTAGGTTGGAGGAACAAAACTTCAAAATCAGAAACAAGCGTTGAAACTCATACTTGATTCAGGAATAACCTAATAAAGAACCAGCTCTAAGCAGATAATGCCAAGAAATTTAACCTTCGTATAATCGGAGTGGACGAAGGTGAGGAATTCCAGAGCAAGGGAATGCAACACCTATTTAACAAGATAATCAGTGAAAATTTTCCCCACCTCAAAAAAGAGCATCTTACCTACATCACAGAAGCGTATAGAACACCCAACAAGCAAGATCCCAGGAGAAACACTTCTAGACACATTATAGTAAAAATGATAGATCTGAATAATAAGGAAACAATCTTGCATGCAGCAAAAATGAAGAAGGAGCTATACTACAATGGGAAAAAAATTAGAATCACTGCAGATCTCTCCACACAAACAGTGAATGCAAGAAAAGCCTGGGAAAGCACCATACGAGCCCTGAAAGCCAATAACTGCCAACCCAGACTGATATATCCGCAAAGCTAGCATTTACATTCGATGGAGAACTGAAAACTTTTAATAGCAAAGAAAAACTAAATGAATACATAAACATTAAGCCAGCATTACAAAGAATTCTAAGAGGGGGGACACAACCTGAAGAAAGCAACCAGGAACTGGGACCTGCCCCAAACAGGCGTTACTCAAAGTCTAACTGAGCAAGCACAGGAGGAAAGGAAAGAAGAAAAACTTAGGAAAATGGAATGGCAGGGACAACAATGCATCTCTCTATACTTTCTCTTAATATAAATGGGCTGAATTCGCCAATTAAAAGAAAACGAACTGAGGACTGGATCAGAAAACAAGACCCATCCATCTGTTGCCTTCAGGAGACCCACCTCTCAGCCAAACATACAAACAAACTCAGAGTGAAGGGGTGGAAAAGGATCTACCAATCAAATGCCCCCAGTAAGAAAGCAGGTATAGCTATCCTGATATCTGACAAAATAAACTTTTCATTAAAATCAGTACAGAAAGACAAGCACGGACACTACATATTAATAAAGGGAACAATCCAAGAGGAGGATATAACCATCATCAACTTATATGCCCCAAATATCGGTGCACCCAGATATGTCAAACAAATGCTCTCAAACTTACAGAATAAAATAGATCCCAATACGATAATACTAGGAGACTTTAACACACCACTCTCACCAAAGGACAGGTCTACCAACCAGAGGATTGGCAAAGAAGCTACCGAATTAAGTGAGGCCATACTTCAAGCGGAATTAACTGACATCTACCGAGTATTTCACCCTAAAACAACACAGTACACATTCTTCTCAGCAGCTCATGGAACTTTCTCCAAAATAGACCATATCATAGTTCATGCAAGGAACTTAAGCAAATACAAAGGGATCGACATAATCCCCTGTATCCTATCTGACCACAATGGAATCAAGCTAGCTCTCAATAACAAAGCATACCGCAGAAATTTCTCTAAAGAACCAGCTCTGCGTTGTTCGCATCATATTAGGCAAAGCTACCTATGCATTCTTATTTCTCAAAACTATTTTTTACTTCTCCAACTATTTAATGTTACAGTGCTTATCCTAAACAGGCATTTGTAAAATGTACAAATGGAAAGGCTTGGCAATGTTGAATTAGCCAAACGGTTTCACTTCTCTATGAACTGTTTACCAGTTATATAAAACAAAGAGCAATCTATCCGAGTTAAAATAGTAGGTTCTGTCTACAGAACAAAGATCTTCAGAAAGAACCAGCAGATCTTGGCAAAGATATTATTTTGTGAGCCAGAATCACAATGGACTCACCAGCCCTAATTCTCCCTCTCTTAT